AAACGAATTTATGCTTTGTATGCAAATAATGTTACTGAAAGACAAACGCTGTATTAAAAAGATAAGCATCAAGAATGACATCGAGGGAGTTTTATAATCATATGAGCACGTAGATAAAAACAAAAGAATTACATTTGAATATCTCACCGATTATCAATCACACATAATAAGCCACACAAATCATATAATCCAGCTCATTCACCAATCGAACCACTACCAGAGTCAATGTTATATCACAAAATCTTCCAATCAGATTGAGTCGCTACAATAGACTCGCATTTTGATTTTCAAGCAGGCACACCTGAGGCTTCTAAAAAGATTTGGGAATTTCTTTCATAGATAACTATTAAATAAAAAGTCTCGATTTTTTTAGGGGATGTAAATGTAACTTTCAGCTCTCTTCTCCAATTTTTATAAAGTGACTCGAGGGATTTATATCCTTTGAAAAAAAATTGAAACTTTTCATTTAGCAGTTACCTGTAAAAAAATTCCCTATGTTTACTTATTTCTAGACCACTCAGAGTGGTGCACTCTCCTAAATAAAAAAGCCGGTATTCGTAGCTTGTACCCTAAAAAAATAAGAAATATAGTAGACTCGTCTGAATGGAATGCATCGATGAATCGACAGTATGGAATTAAGGCGACAATGGCCAGTTTCACTTATAGCTAGGGTTACCACACGTCCCAGATTTCAACCCTTGAAGTGACTTGATTTTTAAAGACCTCTAAAGTGTACGGAATTCTATCGACAAATTAAGAGCAATAAAACATTTCTTAAAAAAAATTGTTACTATACTTTCAACCCCTTGACTTATGATCTCTTTCTCTGACTATACATCTAAGCGTCGATCCGTTAGTTTGATCACTGTATTAGATTTAAAAAGGCTACATTTGTTAATCTTCAATCTCACAAATTAAAACGAGCATTAGAATTAAATTTAATTCATCTAACCAATATAACTTGACCAGAATCCGCGTCACGAGTCAGACTCGTTACAAGTCAACGGGTTGATAACAATTCTACTTTTCATTTTACTCGATCTTCGATTACCGACAACAAAAGCACACTTTCTCAAAAAAAAGAAAAATGTCCTTCCCTTGTCTTCTACCTGTTCCGGTTCGGCGATGAAAAAAAATATGGTAACCCTACTTACAGCTATCTAAACTACTCGTGAGAAACAAATCGAACGAAACTCGGCTCGATTAATACGAAACAGGTTCGAATACACACACGCACATACGCGGTCTCTCTTTCGAGCGGAGTTTGAGCATCGGCCGGGAAAAGAGGGAAGAATCGTCAGCGTTGGTTGGTGCAATAAGAGAAAAGAAAGGTGACGGTGATGAGAAAGAGGAACGAATTCTGCGGGGAACGTAAACACGCGGTCATCAGTCGGCGCATGCTCCGTGGAGGTCTTGCGAGGCCGTGGTTCCCCGGGGACCATGTGGCCGACGAGGATTGTCTGCACGTCTAGAGTTACCCAAGTCTGGCGGGCCGCGAGGCCGCGGCACCAGAGTTAATTGGCTGGAAAACCTTGCTATCCGATACTCGACGCCCGGCTACTGCCCCGAGATACGTAAGCGTATGTAATCTGTATTTTCATCTGTACGTCTATCGTGCGCCACGTTGTGCGCCCTCCCTTTCTCTCTCTCTCTCTCTCCTTCCCTTCCTTCCTTCCTTCACCAACAGTTTCTCTCTACCTTGCTCTATAACTGTACTCAAAGGAGCGGCGTATAAAGAGAGCAGAAGAGAAGAGGGAGAGAAAAGTATCCGCTCCTTTTCTCCACGAGCTCGATTCCCTTCTGATCCGTGGCCTCTCCTCTCATTCTCCCTTCTCCGTCTTTCTTTCCCTGTCAGCCAGGAAAGATAGGTATTGTTGCGGGTGGTCCATGGTGCACATTGTCAGACCGGCCACCAGGTAGTGTGCAACGTTGCCGCTCGCAATGTTGCGGACGTTGCTCTCCCTTCCATTCCCTCTTTTCTTCCTTTTTCATTTTTCACCCTCCTTCTTTTTCCCGTTTTACGTCCTTTTCCCTCTTTACGCTTCGCGCCATCTTTTTTCGGTTATCTTCGCGCTGTAACTTCGTTTTCCTTTTGTTTACTGGTATTTGGAGGAGGATTCTTTTTCTCTATCGCTAGTTGAATGTTTGGGAAGATTTTGCAATACCGTTGATTGTAAAAGAGTGTACAGGGTGTCTCGGTATTTTCTTTCTTCGTTTCAGATGGTATTGTTTCGAGCACAATTTGATATATTTCGAGGGAGGGAAATTTTTCTGCAGGAGAGTGTATATTTTCTTTTTTTTTTTCTATTGCACCTTGTGACGGCTGTTGAAATGCACTGGGGCGTTTCTGTGTTGTGACCTTGAGAAGACCTTGAGCGCCAAAAAGGCGATCAAATTTCAAGAGAGCTAGGGCGGTATGTGAACTTACACTGTTTAGATTGTAAATGCTCAAAATGATGTCCATCAACGGCAGTACACGTTCTAAATGCTCTTTTAAGTGTTTCTAACGTGACAGAAGTGCAAGCTCTAAGGATTCGCGAGCAGCTTACTCAAGTACTCAATGATACATTTGCAAAACGACATTGGACATTTTTTTTGTTTTTTTGAGAAACGCTGAAAAATGTTTACAGGCAGCACGTTACCATTCCGGAAAACTTGACGAATCGCATAATTAGAGTGATTGCTCGTTTCAGAAAGTGTATCGCCGCTTTTTGAGCATTTATAACATAAAGAGTAAGTTCAAGTACCATCTCAACACTGCTTTGAAATTTTGTCACTTTTTTGGTGTCCAAGGTCATCTGAAGGTCACAACACAGACAGACTTTAACGCATTTCAACCCTAATCTAAATTTTTATTTTCATAATCAATCATCGTTCGGTTCCGCGACCAATTTTCATAATCAAATTTTGTCTTTTATTTTGTGCGAAAAATTCCTGTGACCTTGAGAAAATTCGTAGAAACGAGGGTAAAGAAATGTTTTCTTCCAAGGTATTTCTCCCTTGAAATCGTTCAAATTGTGTTTCGGTGTATATTCGCATCGTTATATGTGTATATTCGCTTCTTTTGACAGTAACACGGGAATCGTTTGAGCTATTGAAAAAACAAACCACGTCTTTGTATTCAGTACCAGAAGAGGGTAAGGTTTCGTTGGTCACATTTAGTTTAAGGAATTATTGTTAACGTCGAAATATTTAATTATCTGTGCTTTGCCCCACCAGCGTTGTTCGAAAATTCGACGCCACGTCCAGAATGTTATAGCGGAATCAAATACCATTAGAGTACGAATATCGCCGCAGTATGTTATGTTAATGTCGCGAAGAACAACTATCGCCTAGCCGACGCTATATGTGTATATTCGCTTTGTTTAACAGTAAGACCGGAACCGTTTGAGCTTTGAATAACAAAGCACATCTTTGTATTCGGTATCAAAAATTGGTAAGATTTTCGTTGGTCACATTTAGTTTTAGGAATTATTATTAACGTCGAAATATTTAATTATCTGTATATTCCGCCACTATCGTAGTTCGAAATTTCGACGCCGACGTCCAGAATGCACAGCAGAATCAAACACCATTTAAAGTACGAATATCGCCGCAGTATGTTATGTGAAAGTCGCGAAAAACTACTATCGCCTAGCCGACGTTATTGGCAATATTCATATTTCGTCTATCAAACATTTCTAACGTCGTTGAAAGCAAAGGAAATATTTAGGTGCTCGCCGTATTGCTGGGACACCCTGTGTATACGCAACAGTTACTGCACTTGGAGAAGAAGTTATTTTCTAGGACTGTCGATATTTTTGCAGCGTTTAATACTCTCTTGCGTTATGGTTTTTCCCGTTTTGTGAAAATGTAACTGTATACTAATTACTTTACTCGTATACTTTACGAGAATTTCTATTCGTTTCTCTTAACTAGCCACTTAATCATCGTCAAAGGCCACGTGGCCAATTTAAAGCGCTTCGGGTGCCGTTCCAGACGCGCCGCTCTTTAACTACTGGAATCTGTTCTTTTTCTTAAAAATCGTAGACAGTATCGGTATGGTTAGTAAACGTATTAGAATGAATTTGCAGCTCGAAAATAGCAACGAGGAACCACCTTACTGAGTTTAATTAATTATTCGCTATATTGGCTGAAAACTGCAAAGATGTTTCAGATAAATTAGCTCTGAACTTCGCTAAATAAAAACTGAACTAGAAGTTTTTCAAACCTCTATATTTATGCGAAATAATATTGCATGTTTGTAAAATAATGACAAGATTTCTAAAGAATCTAAATTTGGCTTGCGTCTTTCTTTCTCTTGGAGATTTGGATTTTTGCATGCGCGATATTAATGCGCTTGCAATACGTTGGCAAAAGTGTGCCTAACCTAAGACTAGGTGATGCTAAGTTTGTGCCTAAAGCGAAAAATATTTTAATGGAAGTCCAAGGCAATTTTATAGTGGCGACATACTGGTCTCACAAAAAAAAAAAAAAAGAAAAAGTAGGAAAATTTGTGCAATGAGAAAGCGCTTACATTTTCTTTAATCAAATTTTAAGGTCTGTTGGAAATATTGATCTAAATGTTCAGATTCGACACGAACTTACTACAGGATGACGAATAATGCTCTACTAATCCAAGTCTAAAATTAGAAATATCATAGAATCAATAAATCGCGGATTTTTATGCATGTATGCAAAATTTAAAGGCGCAAAAATACACAGAATGCGCATAATAGGCAAAAGTACATAGATAAACCCCAAAAAATAGTACTCCTTACAATATTTAGTAAATAAAACAATAACCTATCTACCTTCTATTTTTTTCAACTACATATTCATAAAAATATGAATTTGCGTAAAAATCTACAATCCAAGAATTACCAATCAAAATGGCACATCGAAACGCAACAATGTTCTCCACAAAACGGGAATAAAAATGTAGCAATCGTTTGTTTAACACGATTTTTCATCAACTTGCCTCCGGAGCAGCTTAACATTGCGGTTCTCTCGGTTTTCAGGGTAAAGCGGAAGGTCAGAGGTCTGCGGTGTGGATCAGGGCAAGGCTGCAGGATCAGCTGAGTCAGCTGGGCTACTTTCTGCAGAGGCACGCAGGCAAGGTCCTCTTTCTTGCGATCGTCGCTTTGGCTACGTTCTGCGTCGCCCTAAAGTCCGCTCAGGTTCACAGCAAGGTCGAACAACTTTGGGTTCAAGGTAAGTGTACTTTTTCAACGTATTTCCCGTCATTTCGATTCGATTCCTGTCATTCACGCAAACTCAAGAATAAAATGTATCAAATGCTTCTCTTTTCTATAAGTTTCGCGCTGAGATATCATTCTTACTTGGCCCCGCGAAATCGCAAACATATGCAACAGTATTATCGCTTGGAACGCAGTTGTCTTTGCTCAATTAGCTTCTTTTTTTTTCCTTTTTTAAACTTTCTCTCTTGTTCACTCGATCGAACACTTGTAGCACTGACTATAAGGTAGTTTTACTGTTATTTTAGTTGGAAATGCAACATTCTTGGTGTTGAGGGGTTATATTAAATAAATAACTCGTGTGAAGTAGGCTAGGTAAATAATTATATTTTAGAAGATTACAGACGTAGACAAGACGAGCGCACAATTAGAGCTGCTTACAGAGCGTGGTGACAGTGTGCACTTTTATACCTGGGGTGTTCGCAGGCAACCCCAAACCATGTTTATCGGACGTGTCATAAACCTACCAATATTATAGGATGTCGATTTTTCATGCAGTACTCGTAAACCATTTTGCTTCGACACTTGGTATCTAGTTTTTACTTGTAAGAAGCGTCTGGAATTACCGAGTGAGGCTTGGTTGTTTTGTACGAGAAATTAGAAAATTCCTTTGTGAAAATGTAGGCAGCGATACAATGTTTTTGAAAACTATCTTGAAGTATGTCAAGTCACAGTGGCTTTCTTTAATATTAGGGCATCGTAGTGTTTTCAAGTCTGGGGATTTATATTTGAACACATAAATAGTTCTCTTGTAATTGGAATTTATTTGATTTATTCTGCCTAACTTCTAACTCGATTTATTCTTAACATCGCTATGTTCTTCTTTTCCGTATATTTGAAGAATCTCTCCCATTGTATTTCTCTTCAGACACAGATTTCACTGTTTCATAGAAGAACATTTATCCTACTCTAAATTATAATTCGAGATTTATCAAACCTAATATTTCTGTAAATTCCACAATTTCGTGGATAAGCTTTTTTTTATCCTACTATAAGTTACAAGTTGACATTTATCAAATCTAGTATTCCTTTCGTTAGACAGCATCGCGAGAAACAAATGATCACTGTTCTATTTCATTCTCTAATCAACACGAGTACCTTAATCATTTCCGTAGGTATAAATCAAGAAACTTAAGGCCAACTGTGTCGTCCAAGTATTAAAGCGAGTAATTGTACATCGACTGAGAAGTATTAAAACAGTGAAGTAATTCAATGATTACATTAAAGCCACTCTAATAACCCTCAGAGAAATTAAGATATCCGACGAGTGACCAAGGACTCTTGTAGCGTCACGATGTTCTGTCTGTGATGCAGAGGTCCGTCTAGCATGGGGAGCACATTTCTACCAATTGTGGCACACGGTGCATGATACAAAGTGCACGACACATTACGCGCTTTCTGTGACATCATTTTCCTACTCTCGGAATTTTTTACTAATACAGTGACTTTATCACTTACCAAAATTAGTCGAGCTATGTATAGTGATGGAAAGTGCATGACACGTCTTAAGTGTTCCCTGTGACATTATTAGGCCATTTTCGGAATTCTTTACGCCCTTTTTACGCTCGGGAAAAGTTAGTTTCTCAGATGACGTTATCTCGTTTAGAAAATATTGATGATTTATGTGACTAAGGGTGCGTGTGCATCTGAGAGATTTTACAGTCACTCTCAGACGCAGTGTCCACTCGTGAGAGATACTCTCGAGAGCAGCTCGCGATAGTTTTACTCTGACAAGGACATCTAGGTTTATGTTTGATTCGATGTACGTACAACGACCCAGGCTGGCGTTTCTTATGTTTGGCTCGCAAGAAATATCACGAGTTCTAAGAAGTTAAGGCCTAGAATTGTTCCCAGAACAGTTGCGAGCGTACAGCGATTAGAAATCGGGCAGGACGACTCGTCCTCAGTCGGTGTTTACGAGGCAGCCGAACGAGTGCCTCGACGAACGTCGCTTATACTGCGCGATTATAGTCTTGTAGGGAATACGCGGATTTCCAATCAATTTACGTACTTAGCATATTCGTTCGTGTGATTTAAGTGCCGCTGCATACAAGAAGCTAGTGCACCGAATTCAAGTACACAACGAACAGCCCAGCTTGGGTGAAAAATCAAAGGAGAAGCGTGTCTCTGCGAGCTATACAGCTGCAGTTTCACGGTATATGTATGCGTGAATAATATGTATGTATATATACGTACACAGTCGAATGATTGAGTTAATTGGAAATAGAGGAGCGCTTACGTATAGCTAATTAGATTAATTACTGCAACAATGAAACACTGTCTCCTAGTAAACAACTAAGTCTTTATACACGACCTACTTCGTTTGTCGTTATTCTAACGACAATATACGACAAATGACACGCAGTGCAGATGATCAGACTTCAGTTCCCAACTACGCGGACAGTCGACGTCTCTAAACCCACGCGTATACCAAAATTGGTCATTTTTTTAACATCCTCCTTTGACTCTCGAGAGCAACTCGCGATAGTTTTACTCTCAAATGGACACCTACCCTTACGATAATTACTCTCGAGAGTACTCTCGAATTATGTGTCCAGCTCTCCGCCAGCACTCTCAATACCGCGAACACTAATAAATTTGACTCTCTTTGACTCTCGAGAGCAACTCGCGATAGTTTTACTCTCAAATGGACACCTACCCTTACGATAATTACTCGAGAGTACTCTCGAATTATGGGTCGAGCTCTCCGCCAGCACTCTCAATACCGTGGACACTAATAAATTTGACTCTCTTTGACTCTCGAGAGCAACTCGCGATAGTTTTACTCTCAAATGGACACCTACCCTTACGATAATTACTCTCGAGAGTACTCTCGAATTATGTGTCCAGCTCTCTGCCAGCACTCTCAATACCGCGAACACTAATAAATTTGACTCTCGAGAGTAACTCGCGACAGTTTTACCCTCAAATGAACATCTACCCTAAGTACACTGATAAATTTGACTCTCGACAGTAACTCGGAGAGTAACTCGCGACAGTTTTACCCTCAAATGAACATCTACCCTAAGTACACTGATAAATTTGACTCTCGACAGTAACTCGCGACAGTTTCACTCTCAAATGGACATTACTCACCCTGACCCTAATAACCTTATCGTTAAAATTGGTCGAGCTACGTATAACTGAAAAATCGTACGATTTCGGGTAGGTAAAAAATCAAA